GCATAAATTATGAAGATAGAGGAAGGGGCGATGCTACTCCTAGGGGCAGTGCACTCATGCCCCTAGGACCCTTGATTCATACACATACATGCACACACACCCACATGGGTGTGTGTAAAATCAAGGGTCCCTAGGGGCATGACTTCAATCACTTTTCTCCTACTTTTACATCAAATAAATTTAGATAGTTTTATTATAAATATTATTTTAATACAAACTTAAAATTCCACTCAAATGTAATCCAACTACTTTTCTAAAATTAACTACGATTTAAAAAAAAAAAAATCGATTAAATACAAACCAAATCAAATCCATATTCAATCACACCCTTAATATATAACTAACTTGCAACTTGAGTTGTTATCAATACCAATTACCAAATAACATACAACAACACAGGCATTACATAATTAGAAAGATATCTATCTTGGTAAGAATACAGAGATGCGTCTAATAGCAACAAAAATGAAAGTAATAATATATAATACAAAAAGAAAAAAAAAAATCTTGAAATACTTAAATTCAGGTGACAAGAAATTGTAGAAGCTAAAACACCAGAAGACGTGTCGATATCAATAGCAAAACTAACGTTCATACCACACAAGTGAAGAATTTGCAAGCTATATTTTCCTTCAAAAGGGCATGCTCCAAACATTTACTTCAGAATCTTACTAATATTACGAACCAAAAAAATCTAGCTCACTGCGGATGAGGCTCTCCTTTCTGAGTCCGATATTGGCGCGAAACGAGCGGCAACTGCACAACAAACATTCCGAATGCACCCCGAGGGAGTTTGCTCATTGAGTTAGAAACTTGTAGAAAACATCTTACGAAGAACTCTTTAAGAAGTTATGTTTTTGCTAATATAGAAACATGCAGAAAACATCTTACGAAGAATTCTTTAGGAAATTATATTTTTTGCTTAGCCTTTTAGGTAAGTCTAGATTATTTTCAATTTAATAATATGAGAGAGGCTAGTATTGTGTGGTAGAATTGTAGAATTTTCTAGATCACCTCATCTTCTATTATATATTGGTAGGCTTGTCTTAGAGATCAACAAATTTAAGAAGAAACCCATGTAATCAATTATTTTTTATATCATTTTTAATCTAATATTACAATTAATTAAACTTACAAAATAGCATGCATTTAAAATCACATGCTGGTCGACCTCAACAGTCAGTTGCAACATTTCCACTGGTACACAATATTTTTTTCCCTCGAAAAATAGATGATGAAGCCATCGCCTCCCTTCAGTGTTATAAATCATAAACTCGCCTCAAGACCAATCACATGAAGCCATCGCCTCCCTGCCGTGTTATAAATCAAAACTCGCCTCAGGACCAATCACAATATTATCACGGATCTATAGTCCATGTCTGCACCATCTACAAACCCTCACTACATTATCAATAAAGAACCAAAAACATTCATAAATCATAACAACCAAGAAAGTGATTAATTAACCCTCACTACATTATCAATAAAAAGCCAGAAGCATTTCTTGAATAATTAGGACAAAATTTTCATGGTACACACCAGCAGCAACAATTGACCCTAAAAAAAACAAAAGAAAATGATCGGTGAACGAGGTTGAGTGGAATTGTGTATTGGTATATGATGGAAAATGCAATGTTGCAGATAGCATTAAAGAACAAGAAGACATCCATGAAAGCTATGTTACTATATTTCTTGATAATGATGCGGCTACAGCAGGGAAAGGCTATTTTATAGCCATACAATATGAGGAAGCCCTAATCTAGGAAGCAATGAAAGAAGGGCACGTGTTCATGGGCCCATGCATGAAGGAGCAGAATACAAGATGACAAGAAAACAGCTATGCT